TTCACGGGTCACTGACAGGTAGAAGATGGCTCCAACCCCGATAGGTCCGAAGAAACCCACAAAGCCAGCTTGAAAGAGATGCTCGATCTGATGAATGTACTTGTGCATAGCGAAAATGATCGGCATCCGGCGAACAAGTAAAATCAGAATGCCCAGGAATATAAGGCGGTAGATTGGAATGATGCCGTTGTTCAGGAACGAAGACCATGGACAAACAGCGCCAAACCAGATGAATACGGCCAAGTTAAGAAGCATATCAATAGTCGGTTGAAGCGAGTCATCCATCGTTTCTAGGCGGAACCAATCGCTGACTGCGTGAGTATAAAGTATGCTTGGATCTGTCGACGGGGACTTACTCCTGAGTGAAGACATTTCCGGCAACGAAGCAAGCTAAAAGATCGTCGGTCCCAATCATGCCACAGGTCCCGAGAATAAAGAGCTGTACAAGATTAGCAATTGAAGGTGCTTCGAGGTGCAGCGGTGCCAAACATACTGCAAGCGAGATGGCAAAGACGAGAAAACTTTCGCGATCAACATAACGCTTCTCCTCGGCCCAGTGAAGCAGCTCCCTGGAAACCCAGCCGACGGCGATCCCGTACACGACGCTCAAGATTACTGTATAGACCCATGTTTCGTAGAACCAGAGGCCAATTGCCTTGCCAGCACCTCCACTATAGCCCTGACCATCCATTCCAATGTATTTCAGGAGGTACAATCCGAAAAAGAGAAATGGGTAACCAAGCCCATCGTTTGCTCCCGACTCGGCAACGATGATTCTCTGCAGAGGACGGGGAACATTTTTGTCGGCGAATTTTCCCTTCACGATGGAGTTGGACAGGACGGGGTCGGTTGGAGTAATACAGGCACCAACTATGAGCGCGTGGAGGAACTGAAAATTGGGAATCATAGCCCAGATCACCAAGCTGCTACACATCCACATGGCGGCCATTCCTGGACCCAGGAGAAGCGACAGGCTCTTCCATTCTATCTGCAAGTAGCGCTTCGGAAGTTGAATTCCGGCCAGTACCAGCTGGACCCCAAGGACGAGCCTGGTGAAATACAGAGTGATTTCCTCTAGGTTCTGCTCCGAACCTAGAGCATACTCTGTGGGCCTTATGAAATTCGCCGCATGGGGAGAGAAGACGATCCCCGCCAATAGAGAGATTACTGCGTATTGCCCGTCAGTCACAGTGTGCTAATTGCAATGCATTTGTTGTCTTAGAAGGAAGGGCATTCCACGAACATGCTTCAGACAAATAAAACCTCTCCTTGAACAAATAGGACACCAATCCGAAGACGGAGATAAAACCCCCCAACGTCGCACAGACGATGTTGAAGTTGATCAGCGAGAGAGTAGGCATGGATGCTCGTAGCCCCTTGCTTGCAGCTTCCACACTATGCGTTAACTATTGACTGTCAAATCTACCACAAATCGCTAGCCCGGCTTATCGCGCAGAATGCGGCCAAGCGGTGTCACAGTGTGGGCTGGGATTGTTCCACAAATGCAGAATCGCAATAATGATGCTCCAATAAATCAGAACATATAGTAGAGATAGTTGAATCTCATGAATTACCAGCAAGTGTTATTCAATCATAGTAATAATATAAACGAGTTTTCCCGCAATCTTCTTTCCAATCATGTAGATGTTTGCTGGCGATAGGCCTGGTATCGGCACTCTGGGACGCAAGTCTGCCTGCTTGAACGAGGAAAGATGGAGGACGTTGCAAGCAACCATAAAAGCTCAGCCGAAAAGTAGAGGTTTCAGTCCACGCAGGATCAGGGAAAAAGAGTAGAGATGACTATGACTGAGGGGAAGGATTCGAAGAAGAAAACATCCGCCAAGAAAAACTTTCGAAGTGGGGTGGAAGTGGCGGCGAGCGAATCACATGGTGGAGGAATGACCGGTCTCGGAAATAGTGGGAGTATTCAGGTTTCATAGCCTGTGAGGTTGGATTTTTTGGTCATGCCTAAGATAACTGACAAACGAGATAAATAGACACAGCTACTTAAAGGATATATGATGTTCAATTAACTCAGTCCATTGTCGCATACTTCCCTTCGTGGGAGTATCACGCTGCTGTGCGAAATGTTCATCCAATATGCTCAGCCGAACTCCAGAGCATGGACGTGTTCACAACATGTTTCTCAGGTATACAAGCCTAGAAATCTTCGTCAAGAACCTCATCCGGGATATCGCTTGCTGCTTCCAGACCTGCTGCTTTCTCCGAAACCCCCCTTCGAGCACCACTAACTGCAAGACGGTCAGCAGCTTCGTTGCCCGGATCGCGGTTATGACCCTTGACCCATTCAAACAGGGTCTTCACTTTGAGCTCATTGCGTTCCTCGATCTTGACCAAGATCGACTCGATCAAATCTTTATTCTCGACCGGCTTCTGATCGGCAGTCAACCAGTTATTCTTTCGCCACTTGACGAACCATACAGTCACACAATCTATCGCATAACGACTATCTGTGAAGATGGTGACGTCCCGATGCCGAGGAGCGATGTCCAGTGCTCGAAGGATTGCAGTAAGTTCCGCACGCTGATTAGTCTGCCGGTTGCCTCTTAATGGCTCCGAGACGTTTCTGCTGGGGAGAGGGCGTGTCAGTGAAATCCCCAGGTCATTGCAGTTTAGCGCAAAATCTATAGAGAATGCTGAGGACAAACCTTGTATCTCCGGGCCCAAAGAAGACTCCGACGCCTGCCGCTGCCGTGTCTCTACCGTTCTTCAGCGAACTGCCGTCGGTGTAGATGCGCAACATCCCAGGAGGGCCAGTCGGCCTCGTCTTGGTTGCAGATTTCTGTTCCTTGGTTTTGTAAACAACCTTTCCTGTGGCCGGGTCCAAAAGCACATTGGGATCAAATCCATCCTCCGCACCTGGTGGTAATGGACCAGTGCCCGGTTCCAAGGTGTTCCCTTGCTCGTCCTTTGGTAGCTCATCCACAAGACCTGGTGGTCCGGGCAATGTCCGCGACGTAGCAGTACCTCCGGCAAAGGTAGCTCCCGCTCCCTGTTCCATTCTGACGAATTCCTCCGCCTCTTCTCGCGTGGAGAATTTCTTGTAACGCGGGCGTGCAAACCCTTTGATCTGTTCCTGCGCCTTCGCCCAATCTGTATATACACCGGGGACACGTCCTCGCTGGATGCCGTAGAACCTTGTTGGCTCCGAACTCGAAGGAGTGGCACCACGGGCACCTGGAAGCTGCGTCCCTGTAAGGAAAGCATTTGCTTCCTCGTAGGTTGGAAAAGCTTGAACTATTGGAGACGATGAATATTAGCTCAAGCTGCGCACTTAGCAGGGCAGATAATTCTTTCGGCACTTACAGACCGCCCCTTTGTACCCCGTCACTTGAGTCAAGCAGTCATTCCATTCGTAGTAGATGCCAGGCTGATAGCCCGCCTTGACCGCATAAAACTTCCCCGGTGCGCTTCGCTTTCTCTTGGTACCTGCTGTTGCCGAGGCATTGGGCTTGAGACTGGCGGAAGTCTTCGCCGCAGGGCCGGGACTAGGCGAAGGGGTGGTGTTGTTGTTCATCGCGTCGTACAGAGGCTGCGGAAAGGTCGAAAAGGAGCGACAGGATATTTCGTTCGAAAGCAGTAAGCTTGAATAGACTCTAGTTGGCAGTGCAGCAAAGCTTCGAGATACGATGGAGCAGGATCGAGGGACGAGAATGCTTGATCTGCAGGTCGACGGGGGACACCGGGGCCCCAGCTTTGAAGCCGAGAACTTGAACCACAGGATAGGCGTGGTGGATAGAATAAATGCAGAACTAATCACAATGGCATGAATTTTCGTGGAACGAGAAGCCTTCAACAGGTATAAACGATGAAGGTTGAGGTGAGGGGGTGGAGGGGCCTGACAGTGCGAGAGAGGGGGGGGGTGTCCGGCTTGATGGTGGAGGTTTTGGGGGCAGAACTTCCTCTTCACCCCTCTCTTCTTTTTTCCATCTCGATATCTGAATGACTCGAAGTCTCTGTCAACGTTAAGGTATTAAACTGAGCCATGAAGTAAGCGGCTTGGAGTATCAGCCTTCTGTCCTTGATTCAAGAGTGAGATGTTGAGGGAAGCTTCTTAAACAGCTTCTGGGCCTATATGGACCACCGAGTAGTCTGCTACTTTCCTCCTCGGGCAAACTGTCAATAGCATAGTCGATCCCAAACACACACAAAATGCAGGGACAGTTAGTCCATGCTAATGGCATACTATACAGCTCACCTACAGCTTGAACAACGAAAATAGTGTTCCCTATCAACATCCCGAAAGGGTGGTTGCACCACTGACGGCCGTGTATATTATATCACGTGACCATATATTGTTGAGCATCATCCAACAACAATCCAGAAATGCAGCCTAGATGCTGCTGATTTTACATAGAATCGTATATCTTTGACATTGGACGGATTATGTGTATTCCTCATTTGAGGTTACCTCTATCGGCTGTCCTAGTTCGCCGGGATTACAGAGGGCGTATATAACAGCTACTCAATGAAGCTACTCAGCGATATGGATCTCATAAGCAGGGATCTCTTCTGGTATAGTGGACGAATATGATTTGTTATATATCCAGTTGAGCATCGTAATTCATATTACGGGAATGGTTGTGATCGTAGTGCCCTTGTCCGTAAGCCTCTTTATGTTTCTCCCAACGTGAGCCCTAAAGGATCTGTATGTCGTTGCCCATCGCCGAGACGACTAGCACACCTTCACACACACGAAAACGATATGTATCTTTTCCCTTGCAAAATCCTGCTCTCGAGCTTCATCTGTGTTCGATGTCCAGACCTGCAGGTGAAAATCCATATCAGCTTTCCAACTCTCCTGCGCAGCTTCACCGGACCCCTTACTGGGGCATTTGAAGCCGGGCAAGCTTCAGAGGTATCTCCCCATATTATGAGATAGACAAAGATATACCTTGTGTTGAGGCGACTGCCTTGTTGAATCAGGATCCTTCCCAAAAGTCAAGACGACGCAGGATACCTGCCCCAAGTGCCTTGACATGGCTACCTGTAAGTCGACTTTCCAGTTCTCCGGATACATCAAGGCAGACTTTGTGGCGAGATTGGCCGTGGAAGATTAACAGGTGTATAGACGAAACAGATCCCGAGATCGGTTTCGATCAGGACGACCCTAAGTACTGGCGTGCCCTCCACGTCAAACTGCACTATGCAATACTTGTAAAGGATGTGGCCGAAATCAAGCGCGTGTTGAGCTTGGGAGCCGACATCAATTTCAAGAACGAGCATGGCTACACTGCGTTGGAGTGGGCGGACCATCTGAAACAGTTGGAAATCGCCAAGTGCCTTCTTCAGAACATGAACGTCAAGTTGCACGGATACGTGGAAATCCTCAAGCATATTCGTGCCAAGCGCCCCATCATTGTGCGCGCTCTGCTGGAGATGGGTGTCACTGGCATGCTCGCCAAAAACAAGTGCTACCACAGAGGTTTGATCCTGCAGGCTTGTCGGGTCGGCCATCCGACTATACTCCAGATGCTGATAAACTGCGTTCCCGGCTACATGATCACCGATTACAAACAAGTGTACTTGCAGGTAGCGGCGTCTGAGCATAACGACGATGTCCTGGAGATACTGCGCGAGAGGGCTCGTCAGGAAGAGGCGTGGAGAGAGAACTACTTCAGGCCCAGGGTAAGCCTACCATCCAAACTCGCCATGGGTTAAAACCTTGAAGCTGACTGCAATAGGCCTTTGTGGCTCCGGTTCAGTTACCCCCAAGAGACCTAGAGTACGAGAAGATCTTCGATGAGTACATCAACCCGGATGCGTATCTTCCTTGAGTCAGAGCTGGAGTCCTTTGGCTTGTCGACTTTGTTGGCTCTGTTGGCCTGCTATCTTGGCAGATGGTAGCATCTTTGTTTATCAGAGCAATGATTGAAATGTGTCCATGCCTTACGCAGATATGACTAGCGATTGAATGGAATCCGAGACATTGTATTCGCATATTTGTTCTTCTCCTTCGCATACAGCTGCCAAGGTTGTAGTGTCTGTGGGACGTTTCTAAAGCGAACAAGAGGTGTCGGTATTCTTGGCGAACGAACGTACTTCCCGAAATGGTCCCCGCCGTGGGCTACTTAGATCTTCGTATGACTGTGGGTATTTTGTTGGCTCAAAAGCGCCGTGGGTCGTACTGAGTGGATATTATTGAGTTATATATATAGAGAGAGAGAGAGACAATCATATTTACTGGCGGATATTGAATTTCACCGAGTTGCAAGCAGTGATTAATCCATATCTCGACATCTCCCAGGTTATCTATACACCACGGCCATGTCTGAGAACATAGATCAGGATATCTCAACACTCGTCTTGCAGGAGCTCTCACAGACCCCCTATGAGTGCTCTTCTCTCACCCGGCTCAGCGGAGGAACGGCCAACTTCGTCTATCGAGGTATTCTCGCTAGGCCACTCCAGGATGGGACGAAAACGATTATCATTAAACACGGAGAGGACTATGTTGCTTCCAAGCGAGACTTCAAGCTGACGACAGATCGCTGCGTAAGTCTCCGAACAAGTACGCTACGGCAGTTGTGCTGATCAAAAGCCAAAAAGCTGTTCGAGGAGATAATCCTGAACGCCTTGAATGGCTTCCCCGCAACAACCGAGACGGACACGGACAACAATACCAGCTGCACAGTCAAGACCCCTCGCCTGTTTCAATTTAACCATGACACCAACACACAGGTCCTCGAAGATCTGCCCGGAGCGCTGGACCTAAAGTCTTTCATGCTCCTCCCCACAAACACGCAAAATGTCTCTCGCGAACTGGCCACTTCTATCGGTTGTGCTTTGGGAAAGTGGCTGCTCTCTTTCCATACTTGGGTCTCAGAGGAGTCTCAAAAAGATCTGGTTAAGACGATGGAGAAGAATGAGCTCATGCGCGATCTCAAGTTCACGGTCAACTATGACAATCTCGTTAAGATGGTCGATCAGTTCCCAGCAATTCTGAAAGAAAGCCAGCATATCTTCCGCGAAGTCAGGGACATGGCAGCGGCGGAGCTGGGCCGAAAAGATGGGAAGGGGTTTGGAGTGATCCACGGAGACTTTTGGTCGGGAAAGTAAGTTGATCGATCTGTTTACCTTGAAGAGTTCGCTGGGATTGATGAGAGTAGTGTTCTAATTCCAAGCACCGTATTGGATCAGCAAAACAATATCCCTCTCGTCGTGACGGATTGGGAATTATGTCACTGGGGTGCTCGAGCTCTCGATCTGGGCCAAATGGTGGCAGAGCTCTACCAGCTCAAGCATTTCAAGAACGTCGACGCAGGAGCCTGGCTCATTGAAGGACTGCTTGACGGTTACGGCACGATCGATGAAGATATGGCCTTCCGGATCGCCATCCATATCGGCGCTCACTTCATCTGCTGGGGCAGTACCGTTCCCGGTTGGGGAACCAATGCTCAAGTTGAAGAGGTGGTCAAGCTTGGAAGAGATCTCGTGGTCAAGGGCTGGCAGAAGGATCGGAACTGGTTTCGGAGCGGTTGGCTGAAGTGCTTGTTCACTGAGGCTTAGAGCTGGAGCGACCAGAAAGATAAACCTATGAGCATGATCGACTTCAGCCAGAGGCCTCACCACTGACATGGTCCAGAACATGGGATCGCTGTAAGTCGATTGGCGACTGCAAACAACCTACATTAAGAGCAATCACGGAAATCCGACCATACATCAGCAGAGTCCAGTAGACAACAGACGAAACGGGCAGCGATTGGCTGGCATAATAAATTGGCGCCTATATTCGTATTTGTCTACGGAGTAAGGTTTGGTCGCGGTTCTTCAGCATGCAGCATTTTAAACGTATGGGTGATGGACTGAGTTTGCATTTGTACAGGTCGCGGATCACAAGTATCGAGCAATCATTGAGAGAAGAAAAGGTCATTAAGATATTCTAAACCTAGAGCCTTGCACGGAAAACATTCCGAATGGAATCGAGGCCAGAAGGCCCATCATAAATCTGTTGCTCAACGACTCGGGTATTGATCTAGTCAAGGTCAGTATCGGGCTGAAAGAAAATCCTCAAGGTGCCGACGTCAGACCTGGAGGTTGAGGGAAGGTCAACTTACGTGCTGTGGTCCTAAATCCTCCACCCTTTCGACACCAAGCAGCCGCATGCAAGTCTTGGTTTCGTCGGCAAGGACTGAAAAGATGTCAGTTTACGTACTTCTGATTACTCCTGAGGGTGAAACATACTCTGAAATGTGCGCTTAACACCATCGACGCCACCAGCTCCCAAGCCCCAAAGGGCAGGCCGTCCAATTCCTACAGCTTTGGCACCTAGACAGAGCGCTTTCACTACATCCGTGCCGCGTCGAATGCCACCATCTACCCAAACATCGACCTTGTCGAAGACCTCAGGGCAGTATTTTCGGATCTCTAACAAGGTATGGACCGCAGGAGGAGCGGTGTCAAGGGCTCGGCCGCCGTGATTCGATAGGATGATACCCCTCACTTGCGGAGTGTGAAGCGACGCGATGTAGGCGTCCTCATGTGTTTGGAGACCCTTGAGAACAATAGGCAAATCTGTGTGCTTAGCCAGCCACGGCAAAGTGTCCTTCCACGTGAGAGATGGGTCTGTCCCGGCAAACAATTGCTTTCCAACCCCCCCAGCTTGGCTCACGTCCGGAGTGCCATCTGCGGCTTTGTCTGCCGCTTTCGCAGCGCTGGGAACGGGCATTGAAGCAGCAACGTTGTTGCCTCGCTCGTCGTCCTCCCGCTTACCGGGAACGGGAGCATCAAGGGTGAGAACGATGAACTTGATTGCCTTCAGCTTATTGATGCGTGCCAGCATCGCTTCGCTCTTCTTGCGGTCGATCTGAACATAGATTTGCCATCCAAAGACCTGATCGGGAGCAGCATCCTTGACAATCTGCTCTGGTGTCATGGATGCATTGTTGGAGATGATTTGCATAGCCCCGAAGCTGCGACACGCCTCTGCAATGCCTGCCTCACCTGCTGGATGGCCCAGGCGAGCCATAGCAGCAGGCGACACATATATTGGCATTCCAAGCTTGTGTCCAAGAAAAGAGGTATTCAAATCGCATTTCGTGCAGTCGATAAAGACCCTTGGTCGCAAAATGATAGATCTGTACACTTCGGTATTGAACCGCTTGGTGATTTTATCATCGGATGCCGAGTAGTAGTAGGCCCATGCCTTTTTGCTGACGTTCTTTGTGGCGACTTGCTCAATATCGTCCATGTTGAGGAGTGCTTCCATGGGGACCTGCCCTTTGCTCTCCTCGGATGCCGCTGGGGAAGGCTCTGCCTGTACCTTGGGTAGCGTATCTGGGTTGACGGTTCCTAGCAATGCTTCAGGCTTGAGATTCTCCTCGAGAATGCCTGGAGGATGGATGGGATCGTATTCCTCGGTAGCATCTTTGCCGGCAAGCTTGAGGATGATCTTGGCACCACCAGGATGTTCCGAAAGAAAGTCTGTGACCTGCAGGTAGTATGAATCACGACGGACCGATCTCAATTAGGAGATAAATGCTGATGGAGACATACATCGTACACTTTTCCGTACAAAATCACCCAACAACTGTCGGGGGTATTATGTTTCGCGACTGAGCATTACGATGATATGGTTAGCCGACATTTTGATCAATTGACAGAGCATCGACAAGGAATCCTCGATGGCTGTGTAAGATGTAGTGTACCTTCTGCAGCATCAAATACCTTCCCCATCTTGATAGTATTGACGGAGTGCTTATCACAACTCCTGCGAGTGCTTGAAGATCAAAAAGTATGAACAAAGGAGAAATGGCCAGGACAAGAGAAGAAATGAAAAAGTCGGGGAAATTGTACCCCACAGGCTACTTAGTTTAGCAGATATACATTTGTTGTCCGATGGTTCAAGTTATCAAAGGCACCATGATCGAATTGACGGGGTTCCCGTTCAGTCGTTCGGACAAGCGGCCGACGTGGGGGTAGCTCCATCAATTCCATTGAAAAGAGCACAAGCCTTTTGACTGCTGAAGAAGAATAATGGGGAGAACCGGCGATTGAACATTACTGTATTGGGCAAAGTCGAAAGCCGATGCTGGGGTTCGTGTTTGTCTTGTTTGTTGGCCGCTTAGAGAACGCTCTTGGATTATTGGTGGGAAAATGAGATGAGGACTATGTTGGAACTTAAACAAATAATAATGATAGCATCATAGGAGATTTCAGGGTAGCACGGTGGAAGAAGATACCTGCTCAGATTCGAAGAGTTAGAAGATAAGACCACATTCCATCACTGAATTCGGATGGCAAGGATATCTCGTGTTGAGCAAGCAATTGACAGGGAAGATGATAATCTTCCATATGGGGCCGTCTTTGAAGGATCCACGTGAGCTCCAAAAGTGACGTTTTCTCCTCACGGAAACTTCTGGAGTTCATATCAACCTACACTCGGGACTCAACTTCCAGCTAAAATTGGAGTATCGGGTATCCTTAGAAGAAGGCAAAGAGCTCGATAATAGGATTGGGCAGTCTGAATAGCCCAGCTATTATCAACTCTGTTGCGGTTTGTCGCTCTACGGTCTGCCGTCCTTGTGTCACTTAAATTAGCGGGATCATACAATCCAACCCTGCCTGACACGTCGCTATGTTCGAGGTACGTCTTGAGCATCCCTGGAAATCAGCATACAATTTTCTTCACTTATTTTGGTCGTGTCCATAAGCGTCGTTTGACTTTGTATCACGGCGTTTTCTTGTGGTATGATTCTGACGTGTACCAGCGTCGCGCAGCTGACCGCTATCGTCTCCGGATGCACCGTGCGCGGACGGTCGCTCTAACATCGGATGA